GGATTGTCGTTGGTTAGAGACATTGAGAGATATGGCCCAGAACAGCAGTCGATGGCGCGAATGCTGTACGATCTGTCTGTCGAAATCCCGCGCCCCTTAAGAAAAACGAAACATCAAACAACACAAGAAAATTGCAAAAGGTGAAACACAAAAACATTCTGTTATCTTGTATTTTCCCATGTTTAACTGTTTCACCCACTTTTCACTATGTTCTTTATCTTAATCCACCTATCCCCTTTCACTGTTATTGTTGTTGCGTTGGCACCGTGCTTGTTTTCAAGCCGGTGGTAAATATATATATATATATATTCGTTCAGTAGCTGTTTATCCGCACTGAACCGTGGAGACGTACAGCGCTCAGATTAGGCACTTAGCGCAATCTCAACATCAGTCACACTGCGACTTTTGGATACTGAATAGCCTTATACACGAAGAGTGAAACGTGAGAATGCGGTTGAATGTGAAGAACGCAGAATGGTAAATGAAGTAGGGTCTTGTGTCCGTGTTTCGGAGATATAGCATTCGTCCAAATCGAAAATTTTGTTAGCCCATCTGATGGAATGTGCAGATATTGAATGTGGCTATGTGAAAATAGAGAATTTGGCTTCATCAGTTCTATTACTTCTGGTTGGTTGAACTTGATGGTAAAACACTGAGTAATATCCGGTGAGTGGCGTAAACAGGAGGTATTGTGTATGATTCGGTGAGACAAGTGTAATGTGGACGGAACAGTCAGTACCTTACCTGTTGGCCACCTAGCTTGGACCAGCGGTAGCTGTCCAATGAAATGCGAAGTTTTTTCCACCGTCCAGAGGAATCCCCAGATACCCTGCTCCTACCCCTATCTAGCAGGGGTTTTTGACCGGTAAACTGCCCCTCACCGTGTTTATTTGCTGGAGTAACCTCTTCGGTGGAGGAATCAAACAGTCAGAGGGAGTCGGGAGCTGCACAAAAGCTGGGCTTTGTCTGATATACTCTATCCATTGACCTTTCAGGCATGATCGGATCTGCGGTTGTGAGAAGCCATCCTTATAGCTCGCAGGGTCATGGTGGCATGCAAGCCATCACACCACGTCAAGGTTCAGTCTCCTCGTGATGGGGCACTACAGTGTGGAACACCAGCTAGCTTATTGTTTGTATATCGGAAGCATTGGAGCAACCAAGATCCACGATTTCACGGGTGATAAAGGGATAGAGGGAAACCGATATATATTTCACCGTCTCCCTCTCCTTTGTGATGGTGCTCAGCCTTCAGTGACTTGATTGTGGTATCAAGCCGTGCTATATCCATGGCATGCAAAGTGTGCGCTGTCATTGTTCTTGTGTAAACTACATGTTAATGGGGTTCGTTTAGTTTCTGTGATTGTAAACATAATTCTAGGCGATCTGATATATTTATGCTTCACTTAATATCAGGACAAACAAACAGTTATTTTACCCGTCTGATTTTCTTTAAAACTGGCAAAACTTCTTCCCACATGAGGTCTAAAGTCCCTCTAGTCCTAACTTTCCATCAGTCTTTTTTGTACTGTATCCGACTCCACCAGGAAAAGTTACGCACAAACTTGTCTAGCAGCCTAGAGTTGTGCTCTGAACTTCCACGTTACAACAAGATGCAATCCAGGTAGCCAGATTTTCCTGAACGGTACTCACCTTACATTCGTCACATGTGTGATCGCCTCTCTGGTTGGCATTCTAAAACAACCGAAGTTTTTTTAATGTTTGCGAAGGAAACTCTCCCGTAAAACACGAATGTCTTTCCCGGTCTAGAAGATTGGTTTTGAATCACGGTGGTCTGACAGCCAGTCTGGATTCTTGGGATAGTCAAATGCTACGGGAAGAACACCACAAACACAAAAATGTATGCATGCAACTCAACTGGTGGATTGTGATATTTTTTGGCCGTTACGAAACTACCAACACCAAGTTTAGGAATACATAAAGAAAGGGAAGATTGTTCCATCCAAAAGCTGTCTGCTTTCAGTTGTGTAACGAAAATCACATTTGTCTCTCTTTATGGTTTGCTTATCTGTTTAGATTCCCCAACAGGCCGTTCCACAACCTCTTCCACCACCTCCCGGACCATCACATTTGGACGAGGCTGGTCCCGGCCGATATGTAGCCGGTGTGACTCCCATTCCACCGACTGCAACAATCACACCGCCCGGCCCTTTTCCCGTTGTACATGAATCTTCATTGCGTGGCTCCTGTTTGACGGAATCGAATGTGTCACCAGGTCCGCCCAGACAACCGGACACACGTGATCCTGGTAAGCGATGATCTTTTGTAAATTGTCTTAGTCTAACCGGTTGTAATACCGGGGAGGGAGAATTACATTCTTCTATATTGCAAAATGGTATTTTTACGTCACCCCATCTCATCGATCAATATCCCTTCTGAACAAGTATAACAAGTTGTTTCATCACACCTTCGCCACCAGAAGGCAATGAATGAATAGGGCTTCCTCAGTAGAGGCTTTTTGAGACGCCTGATCGTATAGGAGCATTTGGTGAGGTGCAAGGAAATGGTGGTCAGCCGCCACTTATCTCCGACCATACTGAGGCTTTCGGATGTTAAACTCTGCTTTGTCCTCATGATATCATTCCAGGCTCATCAACACAGAAGACGAAAAACGAAGACAAACTTTCAGGCACGGTTACACATCCGACTATAGACCCGGAAGGCAGCTCTGAGGACAGACTCGTTTGCTGATGACCTTGGAAATTAGTTTAAAAGTCCAAAATCGTGTGATATCGACCAATCAGGAAAGAGCAGGATTGGTGATGCGCAACGAACTGTGTGTGTGGGGTATGCAAAATGAAAAAATTGGAATTTAGAAAGATTAGGACAAAAATAGGGGAAGGGAGGTGGGAGGTTTCTTCTTAAAGCGAACATGAGCTTTTCCTGTTCACAGTGTGCCGTGTATAAACTGACACGATTCATCGAAGTGAAGCAGTTCTATATTATTTGTCTCCTTTTTGTCGACTTCATTGAACAAAAAGGATCTTGTGTCCCCCGTATCCGCACACTTGAAGTACACGATTGTGAGTTATCTTCATCTTTCACTTCAGGATAAACTCCTATCGTTCTGTTTGGGGGGAAAATCCTGTGAATTAAATTTTGTCTCTTCCCGTTTGTTTACACCCCACACCCTCCCGCCCTAGTTGGACTCGTCAGACCATCGAACCTGGCTCCTGTGGTGAGTTTTTTTGTGTATGTTTTTCTCTCAGTGCACCGTTTGTGTGAATCTGTACTCATAATTTCCTGATTTCTGTTGTAAACAGTTATTTCGTGATGTACTGTCTGACGGAACTGATTTCTCATCCCGTCAAACGACCGGTTTTGCCGAATTCGATGCATCTTAATCGAAGTCACATTTTTCACGTTTTATTCAGACGAAATCAAGTGATATTAGATTTCTCGAATTTCGCAATATGCTCATACTCGCATTTAAAATACAATTTCAGGCGAATAATAGTTTTCTCAATAACTCATAACCATGCCGTTACACTATATATGAGACAAGAAAACTTAGGGTTTGGGAGGATAATATAAAACTGTGAGGAATCGATCATTTTGTGTATGCGTGCGGATGTGTGTTTCATTCTCAGATATGTGCTTCCGTGGTTTTCAGCTATCTCACGTTGATCGTGTGACCCAGTTCTGAGGTATCCGTTTTGTTGTTTGAAAATGTGTGAACAAGGGAGAGGGATGAGTTCGCGAATCCAGGGGAGTTGAAAAGCATCCAAGATGTTTCTGGGTCCATAGTTTGGAGGATCATATGTTTGATGCAGATGACTTCGGTTATGATCAACGTACGCATTCTAGCATATTTAGACCGGATCCGGGGAATCTGATAAATAGTGCGGAATGCTTCACTTGGGTTAACACGATGGTCATTGTCTAACGAGTGGGCGAGAATCGCACTTGTGATAGATCCGGAACCACATTGACTCAGCCAGTGCGGTGTGTGATGTTCTGTCATGCGGTTAGATAACTGCCGTGTCGTACAACCGATTTAGAGGACGTCACAATCGCATCTGAACGAGTAAACAATCATTGAAACAGTCAACACCGATAGTTTATTCCGCATGGTGGCGAACTTTTGAAACAGCAGCATAGGTGCCCGGCGTTGAATGTGGCTTTTATCGCCGCATTCAGTCGTCTTATGAGGGTTTCAGCTGCAATTCCGCTGTCTCTCCCCTCTCATATTTTTATACAATACCGATCCCACACAACCAACGTGACGTGACTGAAAACCTCAGGAGGACAGATCTGAGAATCCAGTGTGCAACACACACACACTCACGCACACACAAAGTGATCGATTCCTCACATTTTATTGTTCCCCTCCAAACCTCCAAGCCCCTCCCCCCCCCCCAATGATATTCAAGAGGATCCGGTCATCAGAACTGTCATATTGCCGCTTCGTAACTTTCATATTCCATTGTATCTGATGGAGATCCCCTTTGGTTGGTCACTTCCTTCAAACAGATTTGGTTATGCAATCACTTGTTCCGTAAATGGAGAACAAAGGATGATGAAAATGTGTAGACAGTGGCCTATCATCTCTGTACATAATAATAAGGATTATAATTGTTGATCACACGCAATCGTGTGGTTTATCTCGAAGACTGCGTGCTCATTCTCAATAAACGGTTCCATGTGAATCAAACGGTCTTCGTGAAATCATTGCTTATCGATTAAATGTCAGTCAGTGAAACAAACCAAATTTTTGGGACTTACAACAAGTTTCCATAGATTACGTTGGTTGGGGTATGTATTACGCATGTCACCAGATGGGTTGTCGCGGCGAGCGATGTTCGCCGAAGCAGACACTGAGTGGGGAAAAGCCAAGGATGGTCAAGCTAAGACCTGACACGAGGGTATGGAAACCCTAACCAGGAGACTGGGGCACATAGATCCTGTTAGGCTCCTTGGCTGGGGACCTCGGGATGATCGTACCCGATGGTTAGAGACACTGAATGATATGGCTGGGTGTCGTAAACAGTGGCGTTCGTGCATCTCCTCAATTTCTTTGCAACCTTAGACCACTGAACTTCTCCATTTTCTGTTCGACTCCACTTTGAAGTTTCCTTTCTTCTCCTATTCTTCATCCAAATGGGCAGCCAAAAGACAGTAACCAAAACCGGCGCACAAATATGCGTGGTTATTGGTTGTACAGAATGAACTGAACCGAACAGCAAGTTTCTATAATCTGCGAAAAATGGCGATTTTGTAAACGTATCAGAAAAGGGTTATGCATTAGATCAAATAAATAACTTAGACAGTATACGAGGGCTGAGAAAAAGTTTTATGTGTTACACAAAATTAGCAGTGTTCATGCACAGTTCCAAGCACTCAAACTAGTTGATGAAACAGCTCGCTCATGTCGTAGTGGGTAACCCTTGGACCGGTTAGTTCAGTGAAGGCTTCCGATGCAGCTGTTGGTGACTTGTATCGGATTCCGCGCATCATACACCTGACAATTAGGAACACAGTGCTTCTTGAAGGCAAATCGCAAACGATCAACACTCTACTGCTGCTTTAAATCGTATTTATAGTCGTAGAAAATCATCACCTTCCAGCCGCATCGACTGAGTTCCATCCTAACGACAGTCCGAGTATGACTTGTGAACTGAGCTCGGTTGTGTTGATATTTGTGTGAGTTGCAATCACTGAACAATAGATTCACAATACGAGACTACAGTTCGTATTTTCCTTGCCCCTGGTCATCCGCACCTCGTACTCGTCGTTTACTGCTTATCTGGAAACATCTTGCTCAGCCCCATCATACTTATATTCGACCATTTGAAATCCCTGGTTCGATCCGCAATTAGTTCAGTAGGTTCGCATACTTCTAATAGGATCCAACCAAATCGAAACAGTTTCTACAGTGTTTCTTTGTCGCTTATCATTTCACGCTTCATTTGTCCCGTGCATGACGAACTCCACTGCACAGATGTAGTAAAATTCCCTATAGAATCGGTCTCTATCTGCCTTGGATATAGATAGATGTGTGTACACTTCCACGTGTGTTCCGCCCATGTTCGCACTCAGTCATATCTGATTGTCTGGACGACGGGAAGAAGGACTTATTGCAGCACCATCGAATGGGAGTGTCCCGGTTTAATCTGAGCAGCTTAGATAGACGTAGGCAGGGGAGCGGGTGAGAGAGGGAAAGGATCAATCTCTTGGTGGTTGTGTTTCGAGATCAGCAATACGATAACCACTCGACAGATGCACAGCATTAATCCTCAACACATACCTCCGAGATCAGCGTTCCTAGAATAGACTGCAGTTGCAATTCATTAATCTCTGTGGCTAAACCACCGGACACGCAAATTGGTCGTGTCCAAATCAAGTTACCTGCTCTCCGCATTTCTCGGTCGACGAAAAGTTTGTCATTGTTGATGAGAATAAGACGGGATGCGTGTTGATTGACTGGTCTACGAGACGATTTAGAACAAACACCGCGGGAAGCTTTGTGCATGTGTGTGTCTGTTACTATGCCTTCGAGTCCTGAATGGGGTTGCCAACTTCGCAATTTGATTCGACTAGCAAGCACATCCACCAATGCGGGTGCAGTTCTTCACCTAACCACCTGTGCCCACTACCGGGTGAGCATTGAGCACATCAAGTTGTGGTTGTATCTTTTATCGGCAAATCGCTATCCTCAGATCATTATTAGTCACACCGACAATCCGTATCGACCAGTGACGCTAATTCCGACTCTGGGCGACTCGCACGGACTGTCATCAAATTGGTGTCTTCGGTAGTCGTATACAGGCGCGCTCTCTGTCTCACACTGTTGTGACACGCGGATGGTAGTACGACCGAACGATCTAGAGGTCACGAATCGAACGATCGAGCACACGATAGGACAAACCCGCGCGCACAGTTTGAAAACCGGAACGACCCAGTGTGACCGAACAAGAACCAGGCGAATATGCCCAACAGTACATGTCCCTCTAAGCAGAGCGAAGGCGAGGTCGTATATTTGTCTCAACCCAAAGGCGGTTGTAATGAACAGCCCGTCTGTTTATTCATTGAGCATTCCCATAGTGATATTAAGAGAACTGTTCCGAACAAAGCTTGTTTTCGAGAACTTCTTCCTCGGGGTAATACAGTTATATATAGGGTCCAAAGTTGTCAAACTAGTGTGATAGTCTGATTGGTGCACTGTGATTTTGTGATATGCGGTTTGGAAATGAAAGAACAAAGGTTTTGTTGTTGTGTGGTTTAGAAATGTTCACAGTCGATGAATTGAATGAGCTGTTCCATTTCCGGTCTGTGCCCCGGAGTCATGCCAAAGGTCACGATTGTTTCGGTCGGTTGTGTTAAGTTGAGCCCAGGGGTAAGCGAATCGGCTGAACGAATCGCTTTTGAGAACAAAGCGATGGATTCAGTAGGTGAATAGCCACTGCTTCAGCTGTAACAAGGTGCCGTTGATGAACAGCTTTGGATGGGTTTGCTGGTACTTTGTAGATAACCTTAAATGCATCCTCTACAATGCGTTCTACCGCTGCACTTGTAATGGTTTTCCTTATGTCCTGTATATTACTGTATTAGCCCGGGGAGGAATCTTTGTTCGCTAAAGTGTTCTCATCTGTTTATGTACGTTTTCACGGACGGTCATCTGCAAGTTTGCAAAATTAGTTCAAAAGTCGCAAGTTTTGATGGAATGAACCGATCACGAATAAGCATGTTGGGTGGTTCAAGATCGGGCTTTTTTGCCCGTAAATTTAGAAATTTCGATTTTCCGAAAGTAATTAGAAAAATAGGCTTTTCCCTACCATAGACATACACCGAATACCGAAAAATATTCGTGTTGCTCACTATTCGCTTACCGACGAAATAATTCAGCAGACTAATTACGATTATGCAAGTTCTTCCTTGGTATTGCGTTGATGATTTCCGTCGTGATTCGTTTATTCGATTGTGCACCTACCTCATCTTTTTTATGGTAGTGGTCCCGCCTCACTATGGCACACTCTGTTCTCTGAATCCATCCTCCATGGTTTATAGCTCCTTCCACACCAGGAACAATCGAATTACGCTTTGTCGGATTTAAATCCACAGACCGCATGCTTTCTCAATGCGACACACTGGATTCAATTAGGTTCCATCAGCAGTGCAAATCGAGCGATCCAACTGAGGACCGCACTTAAAAAAACGAAATATACCGATATCGATCATGTTAGCTATAACCTTCCAGGTTCGGACTCGGCCGAAAACATCCCCAACCTAGCTACTACTAGATCAGCCATCCAATGTTTAAGTTATATGCTTGCGTTTTACAACTGAGGTTCCGGGTTCAATCCCCGATCGAAGGGGCTATACAGTGTTCTTTTGCTTTCCAGTTCACGCTTCGACTGTTCTATACATGACAAAATTCAGCGTATAATGGAACATTATTCTGCCTTACACGTTTGTTTGAACAGTTCCAGGGAAAATGTTGCACATAGAACAAGCGCGTCTTCCGTTATTCTTAATTATGCCAGTATCTTGCATCGTATATCAGTAGTCTATGAGATAGAAGGATAAATGTCGTAAAAGTTCACTGAAGAGATCAATGATATCACTATCTTGCGTAGCTGAACACTGGATTGATTAAGTCAATCGCTCAAACGAATTACTTAGGAAGCGTAGTTGAAGCAATTTGCCCTTCCTCCCTGTATGGGGATTCACGGTCGACTATCAGTGAAGTCTCGTTACTCAGTGCTAACAACAGTGAGAACAGTAGACGTTTATCTGCGCAACACTCTCTGTGTGCTCAAGAACAATTTGTGTGTGTGTGTGTGTGCATGCACCCTCCCCTCCCCCGCATATCCGGATGAATCTCCTCACGATTGGATGAATGAATAAACAAAAATTTGCAAAGTGAGAACCTCATATTCGGTTTTGGGATTAAACTACACCTTTCCCCGTCAAGATTTAGCCAGAACCCGCATTACTTTGGTCACGACCGGTAAACAAATGCGATGAGAATGTTTGTGATGACCGACAAAGAGCGCATTGGACAGCTGTTTCGTCCTGTTTACGACTCGTCAGCAGTGCGCGTACTTTTTGTGTCCCTGTCATTACTCGAACTTCATGTTTTTCTTCAAATTTTAATTGACATTTTGGTTAGGATTAACCCATTCCATTGTTATAAATTGATTGAGCCATTCGCGCAATATGATGACCGTCGATCGTGTAGTTCAGGAGTAAGAGTCTGAAGTCCCGATCCGTATGTTCGCGGTTAGAGTCGTGACAGGGACACAAAAAGTACGCGCACTGCTGACGAGTGCCAAACAGGACAAAACAGCTATCCAATGTTCTCTTTGTCGGTCATCACAAATATTTCCATCGCATTTGAATGCATTTAAGTGATGGAGAATTAACGATCTCCCAAGGAGTGAAACTCACCCACAATCATCAGCAATGCCTGGTTACTCTTAACAATCGAATGGACGAATCCATGCCTGATACTTTAAACGCTCTCATGGATTGATGGGAAAGGTTGTGAGGTTCTCAGTAGCTTGGGGACTTGCTTCTCACTCCAAAACTATTTTTGAATAACTAGTAATTTTGGTGTGATTACGAATCATTAAACTTTATAATCCAATAGCTTGATTGTTTGGTTATGGAATCGATTGACGTAAATCCTGTGCGAATTCACTGCGTAACATATGCCACTGACTTGCTCGAAAATCATGGGAGGGCGACCAAACGATTAATTCCTCTACAATCTCCATGATTATGTGATAGGTATACACGATTTCGCGCAGCTTTATTGTTGTCAACGTGTTTTATCAGTGTGTGTCATGCTTTCTTAGGTTGCTCCAGAGAACAACCCCGTTCATTCCACTGCTGTCGATTATGCCTACTCTACAAAGCCTGGATGCTCTTTCGATGATATACCAGTCGCTTCTGTCTGGGCTCTGACTAATATGAATGCCGCACTCACCACACGCGACACTCAACCCAGTTGTTTGGGAGATGAGGCACCTGTATTGTCTAAACCAAATGGCTATCCTGACCGAGGGCAGTTCGGACCACGGCACATTTCGGACAATGATTTTTTCCTGTCCACTTCAACTCGGGCAAGCCATGTTCAAGGTCAAGTAAACGGTCGAGATCCGAGCACGGCATCCAGTCAACTCATGTCCGAGTCAGTCTATTTACCGGTGGCTAATACCTCACTGTCCCCGGATCAACCACCACCGGGGATAGATTCGATCATGTCACGTAGCACTCCACTGTGTGCTCTTGGTCGGCCTCCCAGTGTCGCGGATCCGGCTAGGTTATCCCGAACCAGTGCGATCACGGACAGTCTGGACTTGACAGGGGCAAGTCAGGAATTGGAATCAAGTCGAGCTGTGCTCCGGTTAAATACCTCCTCCCGAAATGGTACAGAAACGTTGCACTCTTCTTACAACATGATCCCAATGAATAAGTGAGTGGTGTTCTTCCTCTTTCTCATCATAAGGCTACAGTGAACAGCCGAATTGTTTATCCCAGTTCATTTGACTTATGACTGAATGTTGTTTTTCTCCTGCATAAACGAGGATTGCGTCTGCGACGACGACGAATCAGCCTAGATCAGCTTTCTGTCATTCTGTGAGTATGTGAGAAAGAGAGAGAGCAACAGGTGGCGATTTCCTACTTTGTCTTCATTGCTATTCCGGAACATTGGTGACTTCTGATCGCGTTTGTGAACACTTGGAAATTACGGTTTGCGTTCGGTTCGAACTCCGGAACCGGAATGCACTGATTGCACAATAAGGGAATTATGTTGTTCATAGTTTCTAACTTCAAAGGGGTACATTTTCGAGTTTCTCCAGCGATAAAGTGATGTGTTTGTATTCATGAATCGAATGAGCGATACCACGTTTTAGCTACCTTTTAACCATAACAGCATCGATTCTAAGAGGCAATTAGTGCCAGAAATAATTGTATGGGCTGAAACTTCCCAGGAGACAATGTTTTACATCTTACGGAATATTTTAATAAACCTAAACCACAAATAATTTATACAGGCACCGCTATGAGAGTGCTTGAAGGAATTTGGTTTCAGTGGGACAGTAGTACTGAGAGATGAAATAGGGGTGGGGGGTGGGGGGAGATATTCACCAAGAAAGGGATCAATCTTAGCGTATCACATAAACGATCACCACGCCCGTCAGATATCGCTGATTAGCAAGCACAATGTGTAACACCCGAACAACCAGTATTGTACTTTTGTTCAATCAGAAAGAGTGTCTGAAAAACGGTCGATGATTCACGATGGAGAACAATCCGAACAAAGTTTGCAAAGAGCACAGAGCAGAGCATTCCTCCACGGAAAACTGAGTCAACTCGTCTGTTTGTGCCTCCGCTCATGTCCACATACCACGGATGGAAGCAATATTCAATAGAGGGATTATTATTGATCCCATGTATGCATCATTACTTCGAGCAGTCACGGTCATTCAGTGGATGAACTTATTCACATTGCATATGCGATAGTCAAGTTCAGCTTAGATCGTGCTTTATTACTGACATTAGAATTCTCGTTCCCATGCGCCAACCTCTATAGAGCATTCTTTTATTCTGAGTAATCACACTTCACATTCAGTTATACCTTGAAAACAAATCATCATCATCATCATGATGCTCCGAGAACGGTACTAACGACGGAGTGAGCAAGCATAGAGGGACTTGTGGTTGTAAAACACAATGGTGTTCTTAGTGATGAGACAGTTTCAAACTGGATTCATGCCGAGAAACTGCAATATGAATGTCAGCGGAGAGGCAGAGAAATATAAAGAAGTCACACAAAGATAGACAAAATGATCATCTGCTTGGAAGAAGACCCTACAGACATGTTGGACCTGCTGAGAATTCGAATTAAAGAGGAATTCACGAAGGAGATATCATGTCATGAGGGTGATGGTGGCGTACTTCGGACCGTTTGATTCGAGGTTCGAGCCCCGCCACCGCCATCCAACTTTGGTGTTAGGCAGATTTGCTTTCGTCCGGTTCAATATCATGCCTAACCTATGAGGACCTTATGTGGTTCACCATTCCAAGTCCCGCGGGGCTTAGGTTGCCGGTTTTCATCACTGACAGACTATGGGGTTTACCCCTTCTGCTGTTCATCACACGAAAGTGTGTAATAAAAAAATGTATGATAGTTGGTAATTATTTGGATTGCCCATCGATTACCATCAAGACACTTCATCTCATTCCATCTGGAATGGAGAATACGGAGAATACGGAAATCCGTAAGCGATATGCACTTCAAATGTTTGAAGTAAATTTGAGGAGAGGATTGAATTTGTTGAATTGATGAAGCAACTTTCAACCTAGTTTGCACTCGGACATCGTCAGCGTTAACCAAATGTAAGCGTTCATGCTTCCAGGTATACAACAGTCACTGAAGAAATTTGCATCTAATTGGTGCCATGACGGTATAAGTAGTGGTATTTACGAGAGCACTCGATCGAATCCGAGATTAACCGCCTCCGGGTGAACTGACCTTGTTCGAAAACCGATTAACCCATTCCTACTCAACCCCTGCGCGAACACGTTCACTCCTTAAAAAAAGATGTGTGTGTGTGTGAGCGTATTTTTCCATGGAATGCTTTTTTCTCTTTATGTAAAGTTTATTGTACGGTGAGTTGTTTACCAGACAGTCTGACCTTAAAAGAGATCATTTTCTCCATTTCAGGTTGGATGGGCTACAGTTTGAACACCCATCACTATGCTCCATATTTGATCTCATATATATCGTTACCTTCGGTTTGTCCGGGTGTAAACCAGACTGAAAGTTGTTTCATCACTCCAACCAATTCAATCTCTTTAATTTACTTCAAACATTTGAGGTGCATGTCGCTTACGGCTCTCCATCCGTTTCAGATGGAATGAGATGAAGCGTCTTGATGGTAATCGGTGGGCAATCCAACTAAATACCACCTGTCATACATGACACCTTCACGAATTCCTCCAATGTAGGGTCTTCTAATCAGGTGATCATTTTGTCCACCGTTATCTTATTTGAAGCCTTTTTTCATTCCCCTGCCTCTCCGTAGACATTCATATCACAGCTTCTTAGCATGAATCCAGTTGGGAGCTGCGTCATCACTAACCATGCCATTGTATTTTACAACCACCGGTCACTCTTTTCCCTCGTCAAACAAAATCCAGAACGACTAGCTTGCGCACTCCGTCGTCACAACCGTTCTGGAATCATACAGACAAAATTAAATTTTTTTTGAAAAAAACAGGCAGCTTCTCACGCGTTCACCTATTGTTATGTCAAAGTCAAAGTTTTATTATGGGAAATACTTACAAGCGGTTGCTTTTCTAGTCCCATAGGATTTGGCACAGATGAATCGGTTCACAGTACATACAAAGTAGATGAATGTCACAATGTCACAATTTGTCCTTTTTTTCGTGCGCTTCTACGGATGTTGAAATTTAAGACCTTTCAAAGCTTCATCCAGATTGTGCTTCAATGAATCAATTGTGGGCGCAGAGACAACGTGTGGTGGTAGAGAATTCCAAGTGATGCACACTCTGAGGGCGAATGAATGCCGCCGGCATTCTAATCGGCATTTTTGGAGCGCTAATTTAAATGAGTGCCCCCACAGGTGAGTGTTGGGACACAAGGAAAGGAGTGGACGACATGTGTGGTCTGGGTTCTGCATTATGTGATATACCAAGATCAAATCTCCTCGAATACGGCGATACTGTGTGGAGTACAGTTACAGTGATTCCAGTCTTTCCGCATAACTCTTGGAATGCAGTCCTTTGACGATTTTGGTAGCCATTCTTTGTGGACGTTCCAGGATCTTTTGATTGCGTTGCAGCCATTGATTCCATCCTTGAATGGCGTACTCTGTGTGGGGTCCAATGTAGGCTGATGACAATCGTGGGAACAGCATTGGTTCAAATTTGCCAAATACTCGTTTTAACAAACCAACATGTCTTACAGC